GACTCGGTGTCACACATAGAGGACTTTATCATTAATGGTGGAGCAAAGAGCCTGGGTGTCCTGTTTGGACCTTCCTGCCCCCCTGAGTTCCCTAAGTAGGGGAACACAGAAACACCCAGGTGGATGTACCAGCAACTAGATTTGTGTCATAGCTGAGGAAGTCCGTCCGAGTTTCTGGAAATCAAATCTTTCACAGTGGGCTGCAAATAAACTTGCTTGACCTTTCTTTTACAAAGAGATACTACCTTTATTAGACAGACTAATAACTTGCTCCTTTTTGTAGAAGACTCACTATCTCTTTTCTCTGGCTATTTGCTACTTAACTATCCTTGAAATGATAGCCTGAGAAAAAGGGGCAGATAACAGCTCTGCTCACAGATGATGAGTAGAAATGTGAGAGACCCGTGGGGAGTTCTCCCAACAGGGCCTGCATAGGTCTACATCAGAGGATATCTGTACAACCGTATGTTAAATAATGCAGTGTAATCATTCTTATTTAAAATGCAGATATTTTGCATGCCAGGTGTTATTTATGCATTTGTCTTTCTTTAACATTTCATTACTTATTCATTTATATAGATATTTTACTTCATTGTACTTTTACAGACACAGTTGGTATTATAAATCACATTTTAAATTGTAAATGGATATTAAATATTAATATAGTCCAAAGTTCAATTACTTCAACCTTAGTATAACTCCAGATACATTGCCATTTGAAGGCAGAGGAATGCCTAAAACTCAAAGGAATTACAGTAGTGGAGGATAAGCTCTAGAGTAGTAGAGAGTAGAGAAGTAGTGAACAAGTATTAATACATTTGAAATTTATAATAATAACTGCTTAATCCCAGGAGTCAGTGAACTTACATGAGCATTCTAGAATGTTTAACTACTGTCCTTCCTCCGATTTTCAGGAAGGTCATGGTATCTAAAGAACAAAATCTTAAAAGAAACGAGAGTCGATCTAATAGCCTATGAATAGCCATTATTATTATGTAGCTTAAAATGTGTTTTTACAGACAGTTCTTGTTCAGACATGTTTAGATTTTGTATTATCTTCCATTTAAAATATATAGCATAGTATCTGACATCAAGTAGTTATTGTTTTTGTTTTCTTAAATAATAGAAGCAGTACATTTTTTAGAGTGTAGGCTTTGACATCAGGTTTGAGTTGGAATTGTTACTGAGCTCTCAAAGATTATAAATTATTCCCATTTCAAACATATTTCTCATATATAAATTAGGTACTGTAGTATTTTCTAAGATATGTCCAAAGTCATTGATACATTATTATATCAATAGATGTTTCCCATAACGCATCGATGCATTTGATGGCTTAAATCTTCCCGTAAGCCACAGTTGGATCCTGGGTATTTTCTGGGTCATCTCCATAGGCTTAGCCCTGGCGACTGAACTGGGTTGTCAGTCTGATTTCCTCGTGAGCCACCCGCAGGGTTAGGAAAGCTTACTTCTGGGTGTCCGTGGAAGCGTGACCCTGCGTACCATATCTGGTCCCTTACCCCTTTCTCGCTGGTGCTCTTCCCTGCTCTGCTCTCTCGGTGCCATGGCTATGGACTAAGAGTCTTTGCTGCACCGTGTTCTGCTGCCATGGTGTTTCTGCCTTGGAGCCAGCTGACCAGAGACTCAATCCTATGAAACCATGACTGAAAAAACCTGTCTTGCTTTAAGTTGTAATTGTCGAGTATTTTGTCCTCACATCTAACACAGAGCTAGCTCTCTTTCAAACTCAGTGTGGAGCTTCTTGCCTATGTAGCTAAGAGCACAGGGAATCTGATACTCGACCACATGTTATGTCAGGACGTATTTCCTCCTGCGAATCTTTGCACCTTTGTGTGAGGCCCACGAGTTAGCTTAGACTTCACTTTTGTACACTTCGTGTTTATTCCTTGCAAAGTATACTGTGAATCGGGAATGAGATACAATCCGATTCTGGATATTTTTCATCCTAAAATCTCTTGGCTCCTGCATAATTTCATCTTCTGCTTCACCGAAAGGCTGGACAAATGACAGCAGTGATGGACCTTTTTCTCAGCCTGGACAATATCGCCTACTGCCTTTTTCTCAGGGGCAACTAATATAACTATGTTTACATAATTAATATACACGATGTACATAACAACATTTCCATCATTAACATTTTTCTCACATTTAAAAGAGGCTGTAAGGTCGTTAGCTTTTCTACCCATCACCATGGAACAGACAAGCGTAACTGTCAGAAACCCCGTGTCGACAGCGTTCTGCTGTGAATATAGGAGCCTCGAGCGAGAGGGTTGGTGTGTGCTGAACCCTGCATAAATGGAAACTGCAGATGATGATGCCTGCGGCAGTGATAATTGGGGGAGTCAGAGATGCTCCAGAAACTGAAAAATCTTCGAGCCTCAGCTATGACAACACACCCAGAGTATTGTATTTTTTCGGTTAGACGCGAATATACAGTGCATAATTTTCCATTCCTGTTCAATTACTGGCTAGCTAGATTAATTTTACCGGTTATCACATGTATCATTAATTTACATTTTTAAATTTGATTATATAGGAGCTAGAAATGTACACTTAAATTTCAGTATATTTCTTTTTTTGTATTTACAAATTCCTTTCTCTTAAAATAGTTTTAAATGACATACACTATGCATGTGTATAGGGTACATCCTATTGCTCCAGTAAATTATACATTGTACAGTATACAGATAAGTGTAAGCACCTCTGTGGCCTCAAATATTTATCATTTATTTGTGATGAAAGTATTCAAGTTCAACTCTTCTAATCTCTTTGAAATGCACAGTACATTGTCATTATCTGAAGCGCCCCTGCTCTGCGGTGGTGCCCCAGATTCTCTTGTTTCTGACTAGATTACTGCACATTGATCCACCAGCCTTTCCCCACCCTCCCTCCGACTTACTCTCCCCAGCAGCTAATAAGAACGGGGTTACTCTCAACTTCGCTGCTGTCGCTCGATGTGGGTTCCGTATCGGAGGGAGCTCATGTGGTGTTTGTCTTTCTGTGCCTAGCTTCAATCTCTTGGCTGTTGGGAGTAGGGCTGCAACAAATGTAGGGATGGAGGTGTTTCTTAAGCATAGAGGGGGAAAAATGTTTTAAAGGCCTTTACCAAGAGAACTGGAGTCATTGCAGTGATTTTTTAAAATCTTAGAATATTCATTATATCTACAGCAGTGTCTCCCTGGCCAGTGCATAAGGAGGTTGTCTTCCCAGGTAGCTGAGAGGGATGGATACTAAACAGTAGCAATGACTTGTTTTTCTGTACATATAACAAGTACTCCTAGATCCTGTTCTCCAGATTGTCTGAAATGGAAATCAAAGCATTTGCTTCCCAGGAATTGAAATGGCATTGATATGCTTCGAAATCCCTGGAATCTATGTATATTTATATGTTGTTTGTATATCATACACTTAGAAATAGGAGTAGGCTTGAAAAGTACAGAAGTTTAAACTTTCTTCATATTTTATCTAATTTATAGTGTTCATTTTTTTGTTTTTAAGTAACATTTCTTCATGTTGCTTATTTCTAATTTTATCTCTGTGGTGAAATACAGCTACATATTATTCAATTAGATTGAGCATCCTAAAAATATTTATTTTTAGATGTATTCATATATTGAAATGATTTAATAAGATTTGGAAGAACTATGCTTGTCAAATTAGGGAGCAGGAAATTTGGTAGAAAGCAAATACATTTGTGAAGTTAGATATTTTATAGAAACTTTAAAAAATTAAATATTTGTACTGTTATTACCTCACGTTCCTCTCCAAGTAGTAGTAACATTCTTAAAAATGAAAACTATCATTAGATTAAATTGCTGTTCTAAATTTTAAAATTTCATTTAGTGATTTACTTTTATACTTTTATCTCTGAAACATATCACTGCCTTCATAATTCCTTTTGTAAGGAAATATCTATGCATTTTTAAATTGTATTATTGGATAAAATAGCCAATGGCAAAGGATCCCAGTGTAGTAGTCATTAATGAAAATGAACCTCATTTTGCATTTTTATAATGTGAAATCCGAACATCTACACTAAAGCAAGGAAATTCAGATGATGCATTTTTGGTTGATGCTTTTTCCAATCTAAGGACAACAGTCATTGTCACGACTTAAAGAGAATACTGAACTAGGCATCAAAATATTTGAATTCTAATCTCACAATACAACTTCCAAACCATGGAATTAATAGCTTTCTCCATTTCTTCCCATGTAAAATAGTTGCACTGACCAAAAAAAAAAAAAGGCATTTGGTAGTTGTATCTATGTAAAGCATTTAGTGCAATATCTATTACACGACGAATTTGGTAGTTATTGCTTATAATTTACCTCTCCCTCTGCACTATTACTATTTATAACTTCACTTTCTTTCCCTTTGCCTCTTATCCCTCTTTTCTTCTCATGTTTTTTCCAGAACTCTTTATGGATGTTATTTCTCCTCATATTAACCTGAAAAGATGAATCAAAAAATTTTCCCCTAGTACAAAAATGGGCAATGCATACAATTATTTGTGAAACATTAAGCTCTACAAAGATCAGGAATTTACATTATATAAATATAGTGGACCTTGGAAATTTTCAAATTTTATTTTTTTAATAGCTATTTTTTTCTGGCTTAGTGTGAAATATTCTGTAGTAACAAAACATTCCATTGCTAATAGCAGGGAAACTGACATGGCTATCTGAATGAGTTAAGAAAATCTTGGCAATTGTATAAGTAGAACAGATGAATGGTGCTATATCTTAGGAGAAAATCGCGAAAATAATTAAGTTTCTTAATTTGAGAATTTTGCCTTTCCAGTTTCTGGTATGAAAAGCACAAGTCTATTGTTCCAATCAAAAATAATTTTTCTTCGTCTCCTCCAGTGTATCATTTGATGTGTTGAGAGACGCAGATCAGGATCATTTCCATTTCAGCTCTACCTTTTCGGGGTAAGGGACCTGTGGAGAGAGCCTAAGAGCCCATTTTTGTTCTTCAGTTTCCGATTGCGATTTCGAAGCCAGCAGCTGTAGGTGGTTTGAAGCAGTCAGTGGTGACGATTTTGACTGGATATGGAGCTCCCCAAGTGATCTTGCTGCTGATTTTGAACACCAGGCCCCTCCTCAGGATCACACTCACAGCACAATTTCGGGTAAGCAGCAGCGAGACTTTACCCATTTCTGCTTACTGTTCAGAACCACAGACCAGAAGAAGAAGCAGTTCTATCTCTACATACAGTGGGACAATTGAATATCATCCATTCTGTTTATTCTGTCTGCGTGAAATGATTCCTGGACAAGTGGAACAGATAGGCAATACATACATCTTTGGCTGGTTGAACGGAGATCATTGATTGCTTTTGGCATCATTTAAAACTACATGTATCTGGTTGTTCAGCATTTGTGAAAGCAAATATGACTAACAGCTCTACTTACTGTTTTTTTAAATTGACATATAGTTTTAATTTTAAATGGCTATGAAATTTACGTAGGATTAAGAGACAGATTCTTTGTAGAATCCAGGACGTGTACTAATGTTTTGTTTTTGTATTTTAATAGGTCATTTTATGTTCATTCTACAGAAGAGCAGCAGATTTTTCCAAATTGCTAAACTGCAGAGTCCAAGTTTCAGCCAAACAGGACCTGGTTGTACCCTTTATTTCTGGTAAATACTAAAGGCAGTAGTCAGTTAACCCTAGTAGTCCAGTGGCTGCAAGCATGCCCCTCCATTTGTTAGCTATTATGGTTTTTACCTGGTTTTACTTTTCAAATTGCTATTGTATTATAGTAATAACTTGCATTTATTATAGGAGCTTATTATTATTGTTATTTTATTATCACTGGTGGTGGTCATAATGGGGATTCAACCCAGGGCCATCGGGGTGAGGTACATCTCCAGCTCTTCAAAAATTTTTTTTGTTTTGTTTTGAGACAGGGTCTTACTGACTTGCTATATTGCCTATCCTGGGCTTGAAGTTGGAATTCTTCTGCCTGAGCCACCAAATCTACTGGGGTTACAGGCATGCACCACCATGCCTGACTAGTTGTTTTCTCTCAAAATGAAAGGGACTCTTCCCCGCCATCAGTCACGGGATAATAATTTAGTGAAGATATTTACGCTCTTCTCTACAAGCTCCTAGAGAAAGGGTCCCACCTTAGCAAATAAGCTTTTGCAAACATGCAGCCACAATTGCTGCAAGAAAGCTTGATAGCTAATTATTAATAGACTTTCGGACAAGTGCAAGGTCCCATAAATGGTTTCCATTGCTCGTGTTTGCTCTTTTCAGGTTTTATAACTATGGCTTGTTTGTGGGACCCACTGATCTTGTGCTCCATCTGGAAAACTCCAGCGACTCTACTGTCCTCTGGAGAGTGTTGTACAACCAAGGCAACAAGTGGTCAGAGGTGGCCATTCAGCTAGGGCGCCTCACTCAGCCCTTCTCTTTGTCTCTGAATAAAGTCAGTCTGGGCATTTACGATGGGGTCTCAGCTGTTGACGACATCAGATTTGAAAACTGCACTCTTCCTCCTCCTGCTGAGAGCTGTGAGTCCCCAGATCACTTTTGGTGCCGTCACACCAAGGCCTGTGTGGAAAAGGCTCAGCTGTGTGATCTGGTGGATGATTGTGGTGATTGGACGGATGAGGCTGACTGTGGTAAGTTTTTGGGTTCCTTTTTCTTTTTTAGCCTCTCTTATTTTGTGAGTGAGGACTTTTTCTTTTCTGTATCTTTTTTAGGTAGCCAAGCTAATGATATAAAAGCTTAGTCCCAGAGTTGATGAATATTGTGTTGTTTATTAATTAATTCATCAGGAACAGCAGTATTAGGTTTACTAACAAGGTACTAGGAATACAGTGATAAATGAAATTATAGACTCTCTGCCTTTACAGAAGTTGCAGTCTATTCAAAGGATAGATATTCAGTTATTTGATAAAGAAAAATAAAATAGTAGCTTTGACCAAAACTATGAACAGGCATGATGTGACTTTATATAATAATGACTTTGGACTTGCTAGGGTTTGATAATTCTGCTTAGATCTGGAAAGTAAGGGGGCAAAGCAGGTAATTCTCAAAAACCCAGGTGTGTGGCTGCAAGGTAGATGGATGATAGCTGATGTCCCTGGAGAGAGCAGATGAAGGGAAAAAAGCACAACGGACAGATGGAGGTGTGGAGGAGGCGAGATTTGCAGATCTTTGTAGTTTTCACTAGAACTATTTTATATTTGAAAGGTTTTCAGCAGGGAAATAATGTAACATGCTCAGAAAGAATTTCCCTGTGGATGTGGATTGGAGGGGAGTCGATGCAGGAGATCCATGAGGGAACTGGCTGTACCCCAGGGGAGAGCCGTTGGCAGTGAATTACTGTGACACAGTGGCGCTGGCTGGTAAAGCTTGGAGAACATACGTGAAGAGTCGTTTATGTTTTGGTTCTATGAAGCAAAGTAAGACAGAAAAAGTACTAGTTTCTGGTTTAAATTAACAGTAATTTGTGGTATCTGATCATGTGGATCTTACAGTGTGATGCACTTCTGAAAATGAATCAGAAGAAAATTTCTTTTTAATTACAAAAAAGTCTATTAGAAAAGAAAACAGTTTGCATCTTTACTGGAACACAGGTTCTTTGTCCAGAAATTGTAGTAATTATTAAATTCCAAGTTATCTATTTATTAAATCGGGAAGCTAATTATAAAGCAATGAGCCATAGTACTTACAGAACATAGGAAACATTAAGGCAGTTCCATATAAATCATTGTAGAGAGCCATGCATGGGTGTTCAAGTGATATGTAAGTCTTATTAGCAAAAACATATAAAAGTCAGGCATGTTCCAGTCAGCATTACTATGCATCTTGTGAAATTTATGCAACTTATTGTGATGGATGATTTTGACAGTAACCATCATGAGCAATATATCTTGCCCTAAAACTAACTTATGTTTGCAAATTTGTAAAGTCATTTCTCCCTTTTCAAGTTCTCTAAAACCTACTCATAAAAAAGTGTTTAGGTGCTTCTCAGAGTAAGTGAAGGATCCTTCGCACTTCCCCAGTATTACCTTAGTAGAATAGGAGGAGGGGCATTGAACCTTTAATGTCATGACACCTCTTGGGATTAGGGTCCAGTAGGAAGTAGTGGCAGTACCGGGAGGATCAGGATGTCGGCTTCTCTCACACCTCTCCATAGCCAGGTACCATGTGTCACGCAGGGTGCACTAGGCACTCAGTATGCGTAGTGACGTGGTCTTTTACTGAGGGCCGGAGATAAGATGGAATGCGCAGTCAGCGTGAAGACAGGCGATGTAAGATCTGACGGCTTTAGTGCCAGGTTTATGTCAAAATCTCCAGCAGCTTGACGTTCTCCTGCCCCACCGCCAAAGACTGACACCTGGAGAGTACACTGCGCGTCCCCAGTTCACGTCACAGCTGGGCTAGATTAGTTGCAAGTGAGAAAATGTCAAGTGAAAACGCATCTCCCGTTTGACATTTACTCGCTCGGTTCCCTTCATTAGGCCTAAGCTCCTGTTCTGTGGTTTTCAGAGACCAATGATTTGTTCTTGCCTGGACGCATTTATTCACATGCTTTTATTTATTGTTTCAGGGTGTTTTTCCACATTTGGCACCAAATGCCATGACTAAGATGAATAGTTGAGGGACAGCTGACATTTACTATTTTAAAATATTATGTAAATGAAGCCAAAATGTGGAGCTACCTATGAATTCTAAATCCTCTCCCCTCAGCCCAAATATTTCCAGTGTATATTTTATTCTATTCTAAAGCAAATATGTGTCATCAACAAAATCTTCATGTCTCAAAAGAGGAGCATATTCCTGTATCACCCTAGAAATAAAGCATTTAACTGCCACAGGGCCTGTCAGTTCTTTGTGAGTCTGAATTATCTACTGACTGAAGAGAGGAGTTCAGAAGCCCTGGCTCAAAGGAGCTACAACCCTGAGAAGAAAAGACTATCGCCCAGGAGCCACAAGGAATCAAGATGTTTAATATAACATTTGAGGATAAATGAGGGAGGAAGCGGGGGAGGGTTCTAGGCTACAGAGGGAAGAGGAACCAGAAGTCCATTTGCCTTGGGGAGGAAATTCCATGTGAGTTTAAATGAGGGTACACAGAAGGATTTGACTTCTAGCCCTAGTGTGTAAAGACAGTTGGGGCTGGAGCAGGACTGTAAAACAGATTCTTTCAGGGTGAGAGTTGGAAAATAACCTACATCATAATTATCTAGGATATTTGTCAAAAATATGTTTTTCTGGGTTTCGCTCTGTATTTAATAAGCAGTACTGTAATTTGTTTCGGGGTTTGCCACAGAGTAATTTCACCGTGCACTCCAGGAGAATATTAAATATTGAGGCCTTATCAGATGTCAAGTGTTCTCTGCTCCATTAAAATCACTGAGGGAGTGGATCAACAGTCCTAATACCTGGCTTTACCATTTGGACCAATGAAGACCAATGAAATCAGTGCCTCAGGAGATGAATTCTGGGCTGTGATATTTATCTGTTTGTTCTTTACTGTTCCCTGGTGATTGGAACATTCGGTTAAATCTGTCATAGTGAACCAGCCATGAAATTATGATCATTTGTCTGGAGTCTCTAAAAAAGGATGGGGAGGGTGGGCGTGTAGCTCAGTCTGTACAAAAGCTCTGCGTTTGAGCCTTAGAATCACAAAGACAAAACTAAGCCAAAAGAGCAAACCAAAACTGTGATGTTGCATATTTAAATAAAAAAGGCTTAACCTGGCAGGAGCAGACCATCAATTGGTGGTCTTAATGATACATACTCTTTTGTCTTTAATCCATTTTGCTGTGATTTGATACTGATTTCAGAACCTGGACTGCAGTGCAACTTTGAAAATGGAATTTGTAACTGGGAACAAGACACAGAAGATGACTTTGATTGGACCAGGAACCAGGGTCCAACCTCAACCATTAATACAGGGCCCATGAAGGATCATACTGTGGGCACGGCACAGGGGCACTATCTCTACATAGAATCTTCAGAGCCACAGGTTTTCCAGAACAATGCCGTGCTACTCAGCCCCGTCTTCAGTGCCACTGATCCCAAGGGCTGCACCTTCCGCCTCTACTACCACATGTTCGGGAAGCGCATTTACAGCCTGGCGGTCTACCAGCGAGTCTGGAGTAACACAAAAGGAAAGCTGCTGTGGCAGATATTTGGGAATCAGGGCAACAGTTGGATGAGGAAACTCCTCAGCATTTCCAGTGGGCAGCCCTTTCAGGTACGGACAATAGGTTACAGAATGTATGTTGGAAGTGCAAGAGATCACTGTGTTCCTGAACGAAAAGCTAGTGGAATTCAATCACAGTTCCTTTGACACACATTCATCATTTAATTAAGGTCGAACCAGAGCAATTTGAATGGCCTTGCTCCTTGACTCTCTGCAATAAGGTATGATTAGAATATCTGAAGATGAACACATGGCGTTGGGAACAGCTGCAGATTCCTTCAATTTTAAGTAATTGTTCTACTGAAATAGAAAATCTGAGGGAAGAAATGAGATTGGCACAATTTCTGAGATTCTGCACATCAATCTGTGATTTTATAATAGTTCATTTGACCCTTTGACTTTCAATAGGCGAGCAAGTGGAATGCAGGCCAAATGCATGCTTTATCCAAAAATCATCCCACCTCTCTGGGGGAGAGCTCAAATTTAAGTCCAGATCACCTTAGTTCTGATGCAGTATGTTTTACTCTCAATCTCGCCTGTCTTCTTTTTTAAGTCAAACCTGTAAAAGCAAGTTCAAATGCATATGTGGCTTTTATAATTTTGCAAACTTTTCCAGCAGTTCCCTGAAGAGGGTAAGTCAGATATCCTTTGTTGAAGATCCATATTCTGAAGACAGGGAGAAAAAACATTTCAGAGAAGTTGTTTTTCTTTGGCCAGATAATTCATGAGCAGCACAACTAGGCATTAGAGTGGAACCCTCAGTTTCTAAATTATTGTCATTCTTTGCCTTTCTAATATATCTTCTATGGTGCGACATGCAGGGGCTTGAATATTTGTTCTTTTCCTCTTTGATCAAACACAGGGGGCGTTTCCTACTTACTTCTGGTTGAACTTTTCTGTTTGTTTGCATGTGTTTAACTTTCACATACCCAAATTTAAAGCACTGGCTCTATCTAAATCCAGTTAACAGTTTCGTAGCCAAGAATTTAGTTCCAGGTCAACTTTGGAGACCTAACAATCACAGATGTACCTTGTACATGACTCAGCCCGTACAAACATATTGGGATTGGAGATTTGTTTAGAGAAACGTAAAGACATGGGAACCAGTCCACCATATAGAGTATGACAGCTAGAATGTGTGTTACACATGTAATGATTGAAATGAAATTAAGGAAGTTTTTGACTTTTATTTAATAATGGCGCATCCACATCAAATCAATTGTTAGTGTCTATTTAATTTAGCTGTAATTTGGAACAAACTAGTATTTAATAATTATGACATTTATTCAAGAATTGGTTTACAGGAGCAAACTGACTTTGCAGGGAAGCATTGTCCGTCAGATAAGCATGTGACTAACCGAAAAACCCTTTGGTCATGAACATAAACATAAAAATTGAGATCTGAAACCCACCCAGGGTAACACATGGATTGATCTGTTTGACTCTATCCTAGGGTTCTTTTAGTCTTCTTTTAAATGAAATTCAGACTTGGAATGATGACAGAGTTTCTGTGTGCTGTGTGAATTATTCAAAATAGCAAAAATGAGTCCAGTTTAAGTGACAGGGTATTGCCTTTTATTGGAAAGTAGATATTAATAGTCTGTATTCTCCTGAGAAAGAATAGCATTCTCAACCAGCCTTTTAATTAACAGTGATGTTATTAAGTGCAGTTAGCCAGCATTATGCCCAACACGTAATTATTAAATATTTGTGAACAAGAAAAAATTAAAACTTTTCAAGATTGTTCATTTCAAATGAAGTAAATATGCTTGGGCGAGATTGTCGTTGCAGCATTCAGGGACTGTTTGCTTGTGAATATCAGGCAGCCGAGTAAGTAAAAGCTGCACAAATCACTACAGAAAAAAAAAGTCAGTACAACCAATTTTAATGAGATTTACTGAGTAATAGTGGATATGATAAACTATATATAGTGACAGTTTCAAAACCATCGCTACCATCAAGATAATGAAAAAGAATCTTTTTTTTTCAAAAGATTCCTCATGTCCTTCCATAATACATCCCTCTAGTACTTCCCTCAGTATTGAACTGCTTTCTGATACTGTGCATTTACTTATACATGCTAAAATTTTATATCAAGAAAACTATGCCTTCATACTATTTGGGGGGTCTGTATTGATTTACTCGGCAGAATTTTTTTTAAGAATCACTATGTCATGGGTTGTATCAGTCATTCATTTCGCTAAGATAGTTTATCCAGGAGCCTATTTATTGATCGACTATTTCTAAATTATCCTTTTATGAATGAATCTGCTATGAACAGTTGTGTGCATGTGTTTTTGTGAACAGCCATTGTTACTTCTCTTGGATGAATGACCAGGAATTGAATTGTTGGATCATATAGTAGAATAAGTGACATTGTGAGATTCTTCACCTGTCTTCTAAAGTTTCCCCATTTCCTTCCCATCAGCAGTGTGTGAGAGTCCCAGTGCCTCATGTCCAAGCTCATTTATTACCATAGTTCTTAATTTTAGCCATTCTAAAATAGATAATTGCATATCATTGTGGTTTTAATTTGCATTGCCCTGGCTCAAATTATGTTGAACTTATTTTCGTGTGTTTATTTGCCACATATCTACTCTGAAATGTTTTCGAGTTTTTATGCAAGTTTTAAATTGCCTTTTTATTGTCATTTTAAATTTTTGTTTATTTTATTTATATATTCATTTTAAGCTATGTGATGCATGCTGGGAAATAATGCAGGCCAAATGCATGCTTTATCCAAAAATCATCCCACCTCTCTGGGGGAGAGCTCAAATTTAAGTCCAGATCACCTTAGTTCTGATGCAGTATGTTTTACTCTCAATCTCGCCTGTCTTCTTTTTTAAGTCAAACCTGTAAAAGCAAGTTCAAATGCATATGTGGCTTTTATAATTTTGCAAACTTTTCCAGCAGTTCCCTGAAGAGGGTAAGTCAGATATCCTTTGTTGAAGATCCATATTCTGAAGACAGGGAGAAAAAACATTTCAGAGAAGTTGTTTTTCTTTGGCCAGATAATTCATGAGCAGCACAACTAGGCATTAGAGTGGAACCCTCAGTTTCTAAATTATTGTCATTCTTTGCCTTTCTAATATATCTTCTATGGTGCGACATGCAGGGGCTTGAATATTTGTTCTTTTCCTCTTTGATCAAACACAGGGGGCGTTTCCTACTTACTTCTGGTTGAACTTTTCTGTTTGTTTGCATGTGTTTAACTTTCACATACCCAAATTTAAAGCACTGGCTCTATCTAAATCCAGTTAACAGTTTCGTAGCCAAGAATTTAGTTCCAGGTCAACTTTGGAGACCTAACAATCACAGATGTACCTTGTACATGACTCAGCCCGTACAAACATATTGGGATTGGAGATTTGTTTAGAGAAACGTAAAGACATGGGAACCAGTCCACCATATAGAGTATGACAGCTAGAATGTGTGTTACACATGTAATGATTGAAATGAAATTAAGGAAGTTTTTGACTTTTATTTAATAATGGCGCATCCACATCAAATCAATTGTTAGTGTCTATTTAATTTAGCTGTAATTTGGAACAAACTAGTATTTAATAATTATGACATTTATTCAAGAATTGGTTTACAGGAGCAAACTGACTTTGCAGGGAAGCATTGTCCGTCAGATAAGCATGTGACTAACCGAAAAACCCTTTGGTCATGAACATAAACATAAAAATTGAGATCTGAAACCCACCCAGGGTAACACATGGATTGATCTGTTTGACTCTATCCTAGGGTTCTTTTAGTCTTCTTTTAAATGAAATTCAGACTTGGAATGATGACAGAGTTTCTGTGTGCTGTGTGAATTATTCAAAATAGCAAAAATGAGTCCAGTTTAAGTGACAGGGTATTGCCTTTTATTGGAAAGTAGATATTAATAGTCTGTATTCTCCTGAGAAAGAATAGCATTCTCAACCAGCCTTTTAATTAACAGTGATGTTATTAAGTGCAGTTAGCCAGCATTATGCCCAACACGTAATTATTAAATATTTGTGAACAAGAAAAAATTAAAACTTTTCAAGATTGTTCATTTCAAATGAAGTAAATATGCTTGGGCGAGATTGTCGTTGCAGCATTCAGGGACTGTTTGCTTGTGAATATCAGGCAGCCGAGTAAGTAAAAGCTGCACAAATCACTACAGAAAAAAAAAGTCAGTACAACCAATTTTAATGAGATTTACTGAGTAATAGTGGATATGATAAACTATATATAGTGACAGTTTCAAAACCATCGCTACCATCAAGATAATGAAAAAGAATCTTTTTTTTTCAAAAGATTCCTCATGTCCTTCCATAATACATCCCTCTAGTACTTCCCTCAGTATTGAACTGCTTTCTGATACTGTGCATTTACTTATACATGCTAAAATTTTATATCAAGAAAACTATGCCTTCATACTATTTGGGGGGTCTGTATTGATTTACTCGGCAGAATTTTTTTTAAGAATCACTATGTCATGGGTTGTATCAGTCATTCATTTCGCTAAGATAGTTTATCCAGGAGCCTATTTATTGATCGACTATTTCTAAATTATCCTTTTATGAATGAATCTGCTATGAACAGTTGTGTGCATGTGTTTTTGTGAACAGCCATTGTTACTTCTCTTGGATGAATGACCAGGAATTGAATTGTTGGATCATATAGTAGAATAAGTGACATTGTGAGATTCTTCACCTGTCTTCTAAAGTTTCCCCATTTCCTTCCCATCAGCAGTGTGTGAGAGTCCCAGTGCCTCATGTCCAAGCTCATTTATTACCATAGTTCTTAATTTTAGCCATTCTAAAATAGATAATTGCATATCATTGTGGTTTTAATTTGCATTGCCCTGGCTCAAATTATGTTGAACTTATTTTCGTGTGTTTATTTGCCACATATCTACTCTGAAATGTTTTCGAGTTTTTATGCAAGTTTTAAATTGCCTTTTTATTGTCATTTTAAATTTTTGTTTATTTTATTTATATATTCATTTTAAGCTATGTGATGCATGCTGGGAAATAAGTTGTTCATCAGATAAGTGAATTGTGAACATTCTCTCCTAT